ACTGTTGGCTATTAAAAACAAATAGCAATTTGGTTTTAGAAAAGAACATTGTTAGTTGACCCTAGGCAGACTGGACTGAGCTGTTAATTAATACATTTCAATACATTGGATAGTGTAAATCTTTCCATTTGTAGTTTGTACCTCATAATAAAAAGTTATAATGCTCAGGAACCACAGATCTGTGGGAAAACCTTTAAAGGAGAGCTTGGCTTAGAACAAAAAAATCGTTTACAAGACTTAAGACTTTCAGAGAAAAACAATAAATAAGGACGGGGAATATCTGATACGTACTGAAAGAAAAAAGTTAGAGAACACATGCTTTCTCTTCTGTGTTCCATCTACTGCTACAAACTCACAGGGATAAAGTGAAGGCTAGGAAACAATAGAAAAGTCAAGAAATACCTGCATATGGATGCCTGCCTCTCACTCTGTCACTCTGCTCCTGATTCCTAGGCTGTAGGAATCACAACACTGTACTGTTTGGCATTGGCCTTTCCATTGGAGAGGTCCTTCAGATTGAACTTCCATCTAAATCATCTCTGGGTGATTAAAGAGCTACAACTACAGTATTAAAACCATCCCTTCTCAACTTACACATCTTTAAGACGATCTTCAAAAAAAGATGCCTTCAATCATCTGTTTGAGAAGAAGCAATTTGCTACATAGTTAGGCCAACAGAATTCCATTCCTTGTTGCCCATACCATTCATTTTTTCATTTGCATTTGAGTCAGATTTTTTGATAGGCCATTTATCTGAAATCATCTGAAATATCCTTGACTGGTGTTTCAGATAAAAACCACGTCTTACATTGAGAGAAACTTAGTATTCAGTGTCTGGACTATCTGACAGGTATTGTGCTTTACTAAGAACCTCAGAATCTTCTCGTTTTTGAACGTGTTTCCAATAAAGCCTCAAAAGGATGACAAGACTGAAAGCCTGGCAATTTCACTGTGCACAGTGGATTTGTCAATTCATTTGCCAATTTTTGAGGCTTTATTGGAAACACGTTCAAAAACCAGAAGATTCTGAGGTTATGTACTACCCAAGGACTCCAAAAGAGGCTCTGTCACTGAAACATTAAAATTTAATAGGTTCAGAAAATAAAACTGAAAGAGTTTTACAAAACTGCTTTTATAGAGTGCTGCCCACCAGCATTCAACTTTCTTTAAGCAGTGTCCAGCTTTGAGGAATAAAAGCACTCAGGTAAATCAATTTTGCCTCTTTGCCCTGTCTTGGAATACAGTTGATGGTGAATGATAAGGCACATCCATGCACTGGCAAACACAGAAGTATGGAAACAATACTGACAGCAAAAAACTGTGATTTGAAAGTAGCAGTAATATTGAAAAATTATTTCAATATTATGAGAATTATACAAGCACTTGATAAAGATTGACTGCATTGATTCTCCTCACTCTGTACTACAAATGTCAAAAAGATCAATGCAATTCACAAACATCTACCAAATAAACTAGAGGATGCAGAAATATTTAAGGAATAGTCACTCTTGCTTTTACAGACACAGTAACTGCAGCATCGTAATGGCTAGAATTGCACCCAGAAGGCAAAGCTACACTCTAAATATTGATAGAGCTTCAATGTCTAGCATGACTTCAAATTTTTCATAAGCTGAAGGGACAACTAACGGAAGGATTTTTGCACAGCTTTAAACTTAGTACTGTTATCGGTGTAAAGATACTAAATATGCTAATGAATTAATTCGCTACAGAACAGATTAATAGCTACTGGCTCTGTTTTTGAAAAAAGCATCACACAATGTACACAAAGAACAACATCTGAAATCGCTTCTGATTTACTCAAGATTTGAAGGCATGCAGGTACACTACCAAAGCCAAAAGACACCAGCACATGAGTCCAGCATCACACAGCTTCCCTGATGTCATGAGCACACAAGCCCATAGGTCCATCCTTGCCTTTTTACAATAGCTACCAAAGCTGCAACAGCAGTGGCAGGAAAAAGAAAAGCTTTACAGATACATAGGGAACCTTTCTGATTTTTTCTAGCTCAAACTCATGGCTGCTTTTGAATCTCCATCTGCTTTTACAACACTCTGTTTCACAATACTCTATCTCCCACTGTCAATCCTTGAAAGAAGCCTTTCAAAGATCAATCCAGCCTGTTAGAATTCTGGATGCTAAAACTGAATTTTTCTTGTCTTCTTGTTCTTTTGAAAGGCTTAAAAGTGATTTGCAGCAATCAAGCATAAAGGAGTTTGTTTGACAAGGTTTAACACAGTTATCTAGAGGTGATTCATTGGGGAAAACTGCATAAATTATAAATTAAAAGGTGACCAGAGCATTTTCCCTCTCTTCTGAAAACAAAATGCATTCTTCTAGATGTGAAAATCAATCTAAAAGCTCCTAACAAGTAGTCAATAAAAGGCCTAAAAACGTGCAATTTTAACTAACACTCTGTAAAAGTAATCATAAGAAAGGATGAAAAGGCAAGCGTTACAACAAGTGACAAACAATCTGTTGACCTTATTCACACAAACCCCAGAAATACAGCTGTGAAAGTTTCCTCAAATAAAATTCTGGAGACTTGTCTGAAATGCCATTATAGATCTTTGCGTGGAAATTACGTCTTTTTCTCTCTCCCTTTTGCCATACTGTTCTTTCCTTCCCATTTTGCTCTCTCAAATTGTGTTTCCCTGCAATTCGCCTTTGTTCAACTCCCTTCAGCAAGAGAGCACAGCCAGAGGGACCTTGCTGAGTCTCTGGCCAGCGCAGAGGGAGAAATTGAAAAAAAGACAGTGCAGCTTCTGGAGCTGCGCCACCAGCTCCTCTGGCAACAGAGGGTCAGTGGTAAAGCAGGAGGAGCCCTGCTGAAGGTATAACAACTTACTGCATTCCTTACACATTCGTAAAAAAAAAACAACAAAATCAAGGGTTGTGTGCATAGTGCAACGCAGATACAAACCAGCAGAAACAGCAGACTTGTGTTCCTGATGGTACAGGCTAAATATATATGCTACTGCTGCTACTTTGAAGGACCTTGCTTTAAATCCCAGACAATCCTAGCACCCAAGGCAATGTTATTGCCTTTGAATAAAAGCAACAAAAGGCAACTACTTCATTTCAAGGGCGTTGGAAATTCATTTGCCAGATATTATCAGGAAAAAGCTTTTATCTACTTAAAACTACAGGAAAAACAAAATTCACATTTATGATGTTGCTTCAGCCTCATATATCCATCTGCTCATTTACTTGATAAGTCTTCTGCAGGCTTCCTGGCTTCTCACCATTCTTTTGTGATGCTAATTTACTGTTACCTGCCTGTATAACTAATGTATTGATCATCGCAGTTTTCAAATCACTCATGTAATACAGAAGCATGTAAAGTCCCTTGCATTTCAGTCTGCAAAATCCTTCTACACTTCACTTCTACATGAACAAATTGGTTTGTCAAATGTCTGGGTTTTTTTCTCCCTTTTTTTTTAAAAAAAAATATTTTTTTATTTTTATTTTTATTTTTTTTTTTAAATCAGATCCATATCGGCTAAGTTTTTCCAGTCTATCTTTCAGTGGTGGTCTACATGGTCTACATAATAATTTATGGTCTACATAATAATTTCACATAACTAATTTGCTTGTATCTGACAATCTACTCAAACATTCTATCATACGTATCGGAGACATTTTAAAAAAACATTTGAAATGCCAACACAAATGGAACTTAACACAGAAAACTCAAATTTTTCATTCATGATAAAACATGCAGTTATGAAAAGCTACACACAGGAGTCATTCACTCACTGAAGTACTGCAGAGACTAAGGGACATATGCAAGATAATGATACATACAAAATGATACCTCCGTTAAATACATCACACTGCACTAGCAACTTGCAAACCAACTATACTTTTACGCCTTTTCAGCACTCTGCTCAATTATTTGATATAAAATTATGGGTTTTTTCTCCTTTAGAAAATTTACCTTTGCTAAAATACAAATGACCTTGCCTGTGTAATGTACAGATTAACCTCAACTTTAAACTCCTAATCTGAAAACCAAATTCTGAAGTCAGGAATGTTCAATTACAGTCATAAACACAATTGTTACTTAGACACAAAATCCAACACGCAGTCACATTGTGTGTTTCACAGAAGTGCAAGAGAAAATTCAATTACTTCTTCGCAGGCTGACCAGAATATTTACTATTAGTCTTGTAGGGATGTTTGTTGGATAGGACTGGAGTAAACTCTTACAGAATATACAGTGCAACACTCATTAATGCCAGTAATGAAACAGTTTCTTTAGAGAAGATAGCACAAGGATTCAATCTGTGATCGAAGCTTGCTTGCTTGGTGGTTTTCTTTTTTTTTTTTTTCAGTTACAAGATTCAGATGAACAAAAATCTTTACATCTTTTGATTAGTCATTCCTCACCACATCAGTATTAATTGCATCTCTGCCATTTAGAATGAAACAAACATGGAGTTTTTGTTTGCTTTCCACAACAAAGATTTTTATCAGATGTTATTGGCAACCACCACCAATCAAAAACTGCATTTTTTCTTTTATTTTTAATAACATGACATAATAAGAACTGCCATCTCTAACAAAAGCTTAGTTTTCCCAGTTTTCCTAAATTTTATACAAATGTTTTAGTGAGCACGTAAACATTTCAGAAATATTCTAAAAACAAAAAATAACTCTTTTTTTGTATACAGTCATAGAACACTGTTAAAATTTTAAGCTTCATGAAAGCCTAAGGCTTTGTTAAAATGATGGCTTTTTTCCCTGGTCAAATTGTTCAGTCAGTGGAGTGGCACTCTGCAGAGTTTCACATATAAATCTCAGAAACTGTTCATTAGTGCTAAAATACAGTCCTTGCATGCAGAAGTGAATCATAGCTGGCACAGTGCTAAATCAGGAGTGGGGCCTATCATGCATTTGCAACTGGCTTTGGCCAATTTTGCAGTTCCTGGTTCAGCTCAGCTCAAAAAGCAGGGGATATGCAATAATCTTCACATACCTTCTCATACAATCCAGTGCTCGAATAAAGAAGTCTTTGTGAAGCTGATGCTCATCCCTCAAGATGGAGCACTGCTCCAATGTCACTGACATGGATGTCCGGTCTTTGGCACTTTTGCAACAGGTGAAGCGGACTCCATTCAGCTTACGGCAAATCTGAAACACACGCAGATGTCAGAGGGCTGCTGTTTTCACACTTCATTCTCTGCACCTTAGCAGACATGGAAAATCCCACACTTTACAATCAATTACATTAGGAGAATAAGGCAAGGCTATAAATCATTTAGGCCCAAGCCCAACCAACTTTTCAGCTTGGCTACAGAGTGTTTACTTGGCATCAGGACGAAACTGGATCTTCAGCTCCAAAACTTCTGAATCTTCAGAACCTCACTTCAGAAAAGCACATTTTATTCACAGTAATGGCATTCCCAGAAATTCTATTGAAAACAATGACCCAGACAACACTTACGTGGTCTTTAGGGTCTCTGTACCATTACGGCGAGGGACATCTCAGAAGTTGAGCCCAGGGAATTAACTGAGCCCAACTTTGAACCCTAAGAAGTACACGTTAGTAAAGCAGAATCTATGAGTGTTTCTTCCCTTCTACACATCCAAATTTTAGAACTTACATCTATTAGCTATGTGGGAAGTGGCACCGGGATTTAAATTAAGTATTAAAAGACAATTATTATTTTGAGAAAGTATCAAGTAGGGTTGATAACGCTGTGAAGAAGATAACTGCTTAACTGAGAAGATTAATTCTCTTTATACTTCCTTCTTTTGAAGTTCATGAGTCATAGTGACTATTTGAAGCGAATGAGTCATTAGCAAAAAGCAGGTAATTACTCTGGATGGGCGATGACCTCCGGTGCAGAGATGGAAGACTAAGTCCCAAATCTGAGCTGACAGCATCTGACTGAAGTGCTGGCAACAGAGTCAGTTTTGAACTGAGAAGTCTTTCAGGGAAAACAAGCAAATGGGTAACCACAAATGGGAGGGCTTATTTTGCCTATTAATTCAGTAGAAATGGCTCAATCATGTTAAAGTGGTTTAAATGGAAATCAATCCATTACATTCAGTAATAAAAAAAAAATCCTTAGCTTATGCTCTAAGAGAAATCTAGGTTAACCTGGTAAGCTGGCACAAATAAATCCTCAGAAATAACTCAGTTCACTAAGCAGGAACAGCAAAAGAAAATAATTAAAATGGGCAAACAGTGATCAGATGGCCAAGAAATCTAGCAAGGTATGAAACCTGATCTATGGTAACATCATAATATCTGAATCAACAACAGCTTACAGTACGTGTCCAGCTTGACTTTTATCCTCACTTTTGCTCAATTGATTCCCAAACTATATTGGTGATATAGGACAGGTATATTTCTTCTAAACGACCTCTAAGCAGTGTTCCAAAGAAACTTAAATTTAAATGATTAGGACTGTGCTTAATTTTTAAAGAGGATGCAAACCAATGAAAAAGCACATAAAACAGCGGGGAGTAAAACGAGGAAAAATCCATATTCCAATTATTTCCTCCTGAAATAAAACAGAAGATTAAGGGTCCAGCTTAGGAAGTAAAAACACACCACATTTAAATGTCTTCTGCTACGTTTATTTAGAATAAGAAATATTCGTGATATCAGTTCCTAGATTTTATTTTTTTTTTAAGCAGATGTGTTCTCACAAGACTACTTGCAGGTGCAGTTACAGATACGCGTATCCACGTAGAATCTCATTTATCTACTGTTGTAACAGTCATGTCCTTACAGCTGAGAATCTGTTCTTCCACCACACTGTGATACAGTACAGCAGTGCGTATAGAAGAGGGTCCAGAAACACCCATTTCAGAAGCTTACAGTAAAGTAGCTTGGGAAAAATATAATATTCTGAAGGGAAAAAAAATTGAAACTTTTATTTTAAATGTCCTAAGAACTTCTTTTTGCCCACGACATGATTTTCAAGAAATCCTGCATAGATAGTAGAAGACAACTTTCTGTATCCAAAGATTAAGTAAATTCTATCATCCTCTTTGTAGCTGACTTCACATTATTCTGTACAGATCAATCTTATCTTTGCAAAGCAACGTTTCCTAGTAATTGCAGAAAAGATAGTGGAAAAGAAAGCTTACATTTTTACTTACAAAAGATTCATACTTCAATACTATGTGATAATACTTATTATCCAACATGAAAATTTTATTAGCAATATAAAAAATAATGCTGGTATTATTAACAAAAACATAATTAATATTCTTCGGACTCCTTGTGTTAATGAGAAGTCGTGCAAAATTTTATTAATGTTTTACATCAAATATTTATCTATCTTAAAGGGCATATGCATTTGAAAGCTCCCCAAAACACAAGGTCTTTTCACTTTCAATAGATAGCAAAGGCTCAAGACTCTGCCAGCAAGGGTACATTTCTGCATTTAAGGCAATTATCTAATTGATTTTCACGCTTTCCTTAAGTCTGAGCTCTTTATAAACACTTATCTGCTTGAGTTTGTTTTTAACCTGCACGTACAAAATGTACGTTGGAGAAGAGAAAGTTGAGATGGAATTTCTAAACTGTGTAAATATCTTAAGTGTGGGGGTTAAGAGAATGGGGCCAGGCTATTCTTGCCCATGCCCAGCAACAGAACGAGGCACCAACTGGAAAGCAAAAACCTCCCTCAACTTGCTGACCACACTTCTTTTGATGCAGCCCAGGATAGGGTTGGCTTTCTGGCCTGATGATATGCTGCTAGCTCACGTCCAGCTTGCCATCCACCAGTACTTGCAGGTCTTTATCAGCAGGGCTGCTCTCAACCCTTTCATCCCCCTGCTTATATTAGTAATGGGGTTTGCCTAGACCCACGTGCAAGACCTTGCATTTGGATTTGCTGAACCTCATGAGGTTCACCTGGGCTTACTGATTAGCCTACCTGGATGGCATCCAGTCTCTCCTGTATGTTGGCTGCACCCCTCAGCTTGGTGTCATCAGCAAACTCACTGAGGGTGCACTCAATCCCACTGTCAATGTGACTGATCAAGACAGTAAGGAGCACCCAGTTCCAGCCCTGACTCTTGGGGGACACCATTCACCACTGCTCTCCATCTAGATATGGAGCCATTGACCACCACTCAATCCTACAACCAGTTCTTCATTCACTGAACAGTCCACCCACCAAATCCATAACTTTCCAGTGTGGAGAGAAGGATATGTTGTGCAGTACCATGTTAAAGGCCAGCAATGCTTCTCACTGAGAAAAATACAAATTCCTCAACTGGAGCGAAACAGCCCCATGCAGCTGCACAGGCGAGGGGCTGCCTGACTAGGAGAAGCTGTGCAGGAAAGAACCTGGGAGATGCCAGCAACGTGACCAAAATCACTTCTGTCTTTGAACTCAGGCTAATTCTTTCAGTTAAAAGACAGAAAGAATCTGTCTGTAATGTAAATGCAAGAAGAAGAGAGATAATAATAAATGGGATGTGAGATCAACAGAACAGAACAGTTAGAGAACCATTATAGCTACCTAGTTTAACTGAGTTTTCCATCCAGGCTCTTGAAATCCATTTCACTTACCAAAAAGCATATGAAAATTAATATATCATGTGAATATATTTGAAAAAGAAAAATATCTGAGAAAAAAAAAAAAAAAAAAAAAAAAAAAAATCTCACCGTCGCAGCCAGCCACATGATTTCTACATTCTTCCTCTTTTTGGCCTGGATATTTTGATGAAGATTTTCTAGTAATCCTTTTAAATCATTTTGCTCTTGAAAATGTGGTAGACCTGAAAAAAATTAACAACAAAAAAAGCAGCTTAAGTTTGATCATCATGGCAAAATGGCAAGGTTGATGGCAGTGTTGTGCTAACTAAATGAAATGATTTTTGAGGAGGTCTATCATTTACAGCTTTTTTTTTGAGAAAGTAGGATGGAAGAAACTGGCTAAATCCTTAGAGAATTAAAAAAATCTTTTCCTGTGTATTAGGTTGTCCTACCTAAGGGCTTCACACTGGAAAATTAAAATAACTCCAACTTCCATCTTATAAATAGCAGGACTCAAATATTTGTTGTAGTTCGGTTCATCAGCCACTACAAACATTCATGGGAAATGAGCAGAGAAATAAAGGGAATGGTATTTACAGCTGCTTTGATGTGATGATTATTTTGGGGTCAAAATATTTACTGTTGTTTTCAAAAGGATGAATTTCATTTTGTTTTTTTAAATGATGCTTTACTTTCTAAAGTAACAAATGTACAGGCAGTTTAACCAACATTAAACATCCCCCAAAATGTTACTGAGGATATTCAACAGCCTATAGGGAAATGAACTTCGATTTTCAAGTACAAAACAATTTCAGGCTTACTTTATATCTGAAGTCTTACCTACTTGCCCTGGCTGTGATAGAAAGACTGAAATTTTATTAACTGTACACACCCAGAGGGAATTCAGAAGTGGACAATTCAATTTCCTCTTTAATTTTGTGAACACAAAAGGATTTTTCATCTTACCATTATCTTAATTAGTTTTGAAAACAACCAAAACCTGTTTTTCTAAATTATTTTTCTTCTGATAGGGAAGCGGGAAAAAAACATCTCCAAAGTCTTAAAAACAGCTGAAATAAGATTTGAACTAAATCTATTAAAACAGCAGTTTTTTCTGCAAATAGATACACTGATTTTTTTTTTTTTTCCTCCATCAAGAAAAAAAAAAAAAAAAAAGGATGATCCATCCAAGAGGAAAAAGCAAAACAAAATAAAACCCCTATACTTCCTATTCAACTTCAGAGTATAAATGATGTCACTACAGTAATGTATGTCAAAATCCATTCTCCTAAGCTGTTCACAGCTGGAAGGATATCTCTTATCATCTGGCTTTTACTTTTTATCTCTAATAAATTCCAGACCTCTTTACCTGTGATTCTTAGTCAGAGATAATTTAAATATAAACACAAACATGTTCTAGAACAGCTACATTTTCTTATTCATATTGCCTAACATCCCACCTCCCTACCACACTCCCACTCCGCCCCCCCCCAAACATTAAAAAACAGTAACGACAACAACAACACACCACACAGGAAAAATACATTAAAATCTGCTTTGTGAGTATCTTACTGAGGATTGTGTGACCTGAGCATTAGAATTCCTGAGCATACAATTAGATTACGTAGAGCATATAAACATACATCACAATCTGCTCAACTATTATACTTACCCTGCATCTGTTCCTTGAAAATAGATAGCATACAGACAGTGCTCTAGAAAGATGCTTCCAAATTATGGGAATATATCACTAGGTAAACATTTTATTGTATCAAAATACTTTTCCTTTGGCTCACAGCAGAAAATCCATCATTTCAGACAGGTGACTTCACAATAGGTAAACCAATATTATCCTAATTTATAATATTGCCAAGCAACTTGTATCTTGACTGGATGTGACTGATAGCTTAAACTCCTTGTATCACAAAGCAGTATTAAACTGTCAAATCATTCTCATAGATCATAAGGGGGAGAAGCCTGGAAGTGCAGAACAGACTCTTAGACAGCGCTGTTGACATACATAGTAGTACTACATACATTATGAGGCTATGGAAGAAAATCTTTATAGGCTTGTGTGATTTCAAAGCCTTGCTGCATCCCTTTTCACACAAGGGATGCATCTTGCAACAGTGATGTTGCTGTGGGTGCTAGGTAGTGACAAATCAGTGATAGCAAATATCACTTGTGAGACAGCTTAACGCTCTTAGCTGCTTGAGTTCTAAGGCACTCTTTGCAATAACATATGTCCTACTAAACAGCAATCATATTTCTGTACTCTATCATTAACTTTTTACAGCTATTTTGGTGTCTAAAACAATTTAATTGGTCAGCATTTCTGGTAAGGATCTTTCTTGGGGCATATTGTAACTTATTGGGTTTGCAATATCCTGTTGGGAGAGGAATCAAGTGACAGGGGAATGGAAGACTAGCAGAGTGTGTACTCATCTAAAGTTAGGAAGGAAGTCAACGTTTGGTATATGCAGGCATGAACAATTAACATTTTTTTGTGTAATGAGGAACAGAGAGAAGGCTTGAAAATACAATGAAAAGCTCTGCCGTGAGAGAAAAACTAATAGCAAAGATGGCAATACCTTCGTGGGAGTGCAAAGCTTTCTTCTTTGACACGAAATATGCCAAGTGAGGATGTCTAAGGATGGTGGATGCAACTGCCTGCCAGCAGAACTGAGAGTCCTCAAATTGGTCTCGTTTTATGGGTTTTATGAGCACAACTTGTAACTAACAGCTTTGTGAAATGGGTCACACGTTTATTTTGTAGCACAGGTCTGGCACTACAGGAAACAATTTGGAAAGGTGCGACAAAGCCATCAATGCCAAATGGCTCTCACTTGACTCCACAGCCAGGGCTGCTGCCAGCTTGTGTGGAAGTGCATCTCCTTAAGAGCTGCAGCAAAGAGGTGCAGAAAAGGGGAAAGAAATGAAGTACTCCTCTGGGTGAACACCTCAGAGGGCTTCAGTCGCCCTTTTCCCCCTCTCCCTTAACAAAAAAGCAAAATAAAAATTAACTAACGGAGAGATAGGGATAATGAAGGAAGGGGCTGGTTTGAAAGGCACCTTCCTCCAAGCTGCATTACATTGTTAAGCTTGATAGTGTATGTTGATGGATACCTCGCCCTTGCAGTTTGCTTAGATCACAGGAATAGCTGTACAGTATCAATACCATGGAATTGTACAGAGCAACCAGGAAGTGCAGTGGAACCAGAAGGTACTTTGTGTTATGTAAAAACTGGCACAACAGCCAGACTCAGCTCTCCGAGGCAGAGAAAATGCAGGAAGGCAATAAAAACCAGAAAAGACAGGATGAGCTAGACAAGCATAGTTCTTACAAGTCTGCACAGTCTGAAAGAAGTCCAGGAAGACGGCGCAGCACGCTAATAACCATTCTGGAGGAAGGCAGTACAAGATTAGTTCTTGTCAATGAAAAGGACCAAATACTACCTGCGTGTAAATTTCTGCTTCTACGTAATCAGATTCATTTAGAAAGCAGCAGATATACATTTGACCTAATTCCCGATGAGGTTAGTTTTTCCGAACTTTTATGGGGAAGATTCCCCCAAATAAACCTCTAACTGACTACATAAGACTTTTGGTAGAAAAGAGAAATATCAGAGATGTGAGTGGATCAATTGTCATACTGCATACGCCTAAGAAACACAGCTTGTTAAAATTATTAACAAATAGAATCTACTGAGATGAAATATAGGCACATATGCATACATATGCAGCACCACATTTGGTAGAACTACGAGCATATACACAAAATGGAAATCAGCACACATAACCAGTACCTGTAAGAGAGCACAAGCTTTGCATAGTATTCCCCACAAGGAATTACAAATGCCCCCTAGCACAACAGCAGTTTAGATTCAGAGATAGTTACCAAAGAGTAAGGGGTAGAGACCTAAATACAAGCTGTTTAAAAAGAGGCTATACAATTTGCAACTTAGGGAAATATAATTTAGCCATTAAGACTGGTTTATGAGGATTATAAGGATGCAAAAGGTCCTTGTGTTTGCTTTCAGGAAAGTAAGAGAACAGTATGCCTACAATACCACATACCCATAATATTTGAATAAAGGGCCTATTCTAATAGAATCACACTATTAACATAAATGACACTGTGAAGTTATTCATTGCTTATATCTATACATTTCTCAGTATTGTTTGCCATACCTTAATATGAGGGCTGCTCCAGAAGTAATGCCTCCTATTTTATTTTGTTGGCCCACAACATCAGAGGCAGATGGTGGAGATATGGTAGTAGAGGCTGAACCTTCCCACCAATATTCTGTTCCATGTTGCTGCTGTGCTGAGGGGCACTCTGACAAAATGGCATCTGACATAAAAGCGAGCATGAAGCAAACGAGTGTCACTGAATTCCTCCATGTGGAAGAAATGGCACCCACTGACATTCATCAACACATCAACATTTATGAAGACCTAACAAGAGATATGAGCACAGAGAAGCAGTGGGTGGTGCATTTAAGCAGTGGCCACAGTATCAGTGGCTGGCGCAGGTTTTTAGAGTGCAGCATGCAAGCTCTTGTTCACAGCCAGTAAAAATTCATAGCTAATGGTGGCAACTATATTGAAAAATAGCATTTTGTAGCTTAGAATTTGCTCTATCAAACAGTGCTATTGTACTCTTTGTATCTGTTGTCATTTCCATAGAAATAGGAGGCATTACTTTCGGAGCAACCTATGCACATACTCAGAAAGAAAAGTGGAGGGAGTAAGTAAAACTGATGAAAATTCCCAAGGAGTACATCTGTACAAATATAGTAAGTACGGCCTGTCCTCTATTTAAATTATTAAAGAGCATATCATATTAATAATTTAAAGGAGCTGTCTGGTTCACCACTACTGCATTTCACTCTCCCTGCCATTTCTGCTATGGCCTTGAGCTCAAACAGGCTCCAACTGCTTAATCTTATGGAGTAAATTATAGGACTTAAGCCTAAACCTAAAATCTGCATATTAATACTGCATTCAAAATACTTCCTTACAAATTTTCATCTATAAAGCCTTTTAAAAGCTATCTGGATATTGTATTATGTTGTACTCACAATCAGGAGGCATTTTTTCCGTAAACAGGTTGTAATATTCTTTCAGAAGTTCTAAGTTTTCTTGGTTAATGTTTTCTTGCAAAGTGGTATCTCCAAACCTATAAAATCATAGTAAATGATGAAAAATGTGAAACGCATAGCCATTAATCCATCAGAACGTTTAAATTGTATGAAGAACTTGAATTTCCTTTTCCACTGTTGAATGTATTAAACTTGGTCAAACATATAATTATTCATCTTCCAAGTGATTTAGAAGTAATATTCAGGAATGAGGTAACCATCCACAGAAACTTTTTCCAAACCGTATGGACAGAATAATTAATTTACAGACAACGATTCAATAGAGCACAAGTTCCCACTTCATTCACAAATCCTGAATAAACGCAAGGGCTCTCTGTGGGAATTTCAAATGGCACTTGTGCAGAGTACAACTACTAAATCTCTTACTGCTGCTGCAGCTGCTTAGCTGCTTGATATTTGTCATGGTTGACACTCAAGCCACACACAATGAAGTGAAGCAAGTGTCAGGAAAAATATTATAAAATGGCTTCACTTGGAAGGGACCTCAAGGATCACCACGTTCCAACCCTCCCTGCCATAGGCAGGGTGCCAGCTGCTACATCAAGTACCAGATTGTCCAGGGCCCCATACAGTCCGGCCATAAACATCTCCAGGAACAAGGCATCCATAACCTCTCTGGGCAACCTGTTCCAGTACCTCACCGCTTTCCAAGTGAAAAACTTCCCCCTGACACCAAATCTAAATCTTCCCTCCTTTAGTTTAAAACCTTAAAACTATTCCCCCTTGTCTCCCTCTAAATACAGGAGTGCCATAACCAGGTCTCTCCCCACACCCTTCTCCAGCCTGAACAAGTCCAGTTCCTTTAGCCTACCTTCAAAGGAGAGGTGCTCCCTCCCCGATCATCTTTGTGGCCCTCCTCTGGGTCCTCTTCAAAAGCTCTATATCTCTCCTGTTTTGGGGGCCCCAGACTTGTACACAGTACTCCAGATGGGGCCTCATGAGGGCAGAGTAAATAGAGACAAACACCTCCCTCTCCCTGCTGGCCACCCCCTCTCCTGATGGAGCCTAGGATACCACTGGCTTTTCCAGGCTGTAAGAACACATTGCTGGCTCACGTTAAACCTTTCATCAACCAAGACAAGTCTTTCTCAGCAGGGCTACTCTCAAGGAGTGCTTCTTCAACTTTGTATATATATCTGGGATTACCTTGACCCAAGTGCAAAACCTTCCACTTGGCTTTCTTGGACCTTGTAAGGCTCATAAGGGCCCACCTTCCGAGTTTATCGAACATTTCTTCCAAAACACATGCATCCTCTATTGTGCTTTATAGAAAGTAAACATGTTTACATTTAATCAATACTGTACTGCAAACAATTTATCACAAAAAGTTATTCCTGTTCTCCTAATGTGTTCCACTGAGAGTATCTTCTAACAAAAAGCATGTGCAGTGTTCCCAATTGCGGAGACGAATGTGCAGCTTCAGGAGTTGAGCAGTTATTTTGCTAATTTCTATTTCTGCCTAATTTCTGCATCTGTAACTGCAAGCAGAAAACATGGAATTTCTGCATGGAATAATCCAACTGACAGACACATTAAATTTTTCATTTATGGCTTCTTTTCTTAGGGTAAAATATAAAATCACCACTGAGAATAATGCTACCACACTTCCTGTTACTTCACATTCAAGCCAGTTGACATCTTTTTTGGACTTACTCCTCGATAACTCTGCAGATTCAGGCTATTTCTACATCTTGTCAATTTTTTCTTCAGGACATTTGTAACAAAGTCCCTTCCCTGCCTGTCCCACGCTCATGAAGTCTTACAGACTCGTTTCCTAAATACCTCATACTCCTTTTCTCTCTTTCGGAAAAATGTGAAGAATTCACTCACAATTATTACCAAATTGATTTTGCTTTTTGTATGTCATCACTCCAGCTATCTTACTTAACCCATAAAATAGCTTTCCTACTAAAAGCTACTTCCATTTTCAAAGGTGTTTCAACTTCTCTAATTAACTTTACATCATTTTCTCTAGTAAAACATTTGCTTGTACCTCCATTTTCTGATTCAGCCTTCATCTCCCATTCAAATTTTATACCTGACTTTCCAGCATATCACAGTTCAGCCAAGTCCTCTATAAATATCCACAATGCTATCTGACTGCATTCTTTAGAAGACTTCCATAATCCCCTTTTACTCTGCTGTATACAAAGAGTATGATGTCAAACTCCTGTAGTGCTGTTTCTTGCCTATTGTCCAAGCTAACACTTTTTCACTATGCCTGTGTATTTGCTCACCTACACTTAGATAGCTTTTGGTTTGAGTTTATATTGAACACTGCCTGAAGGAACGTATTTCATTCCCCATGTGCTCTGTAAAAGAATTGAGTAAAAGGAAAAAAGTAGTCATCTTCTTGTAGACGTTCATCTTGCAATTTTAGCGTTGTACCACTTAGTAATTTAACGTGACCAATAGGTAACTGTCTCTTGAGAGAGAAACATATAAGATGGGAAAACTTTGACCAAGATTGTACTGAAAAATTGCTTTCTAGCAATTCCTTCAGTGGACTAATATTAACACATTATAATTTTACCATCAGCCTTCATGTTTCTATGAACATGAACATTTCTATATCATTAGCATACTCTGCACTAGTAATTAAAACTTAATTCTGTTAAAAATAATCAAACCCAATAAGTTCAGAAAAGGTTCTCTTCATGGTTTATGATTTTTTTTTAGTACCTTCAACTCCACCTCTAAGACACAAAGAACTCGAAATTTTTGAACTTCAGTTGACTTAAGTGCCAAAGCACTGTACACAAACTTCCACATGTGTAATCTAGAAATACACTTCATACCTACATCCAAGGAAAACCCAGTGCTGGCTGCGTGAAGCAGAGGCACAATGCAGTCCTGTATATGGCCTTTCATATTATTTTGCCGTTTTTTTTTCCCACGGCTTGCACTTATTTCCTTTAGTACTTTTTAAAATACATACAAAGTCAAGCTGAGGTGGTCCAAGAGCAAATAACAAAAAGTGATTTCTTTGTAATCCTGTGAGAGATGTCTCACAGAGAGTACTCCGAAAGTAAGACAAATATTTTGGCAAGCATCTTCTTACCTCTCTGCAAGTGTTTGCTGCTCATTGATTCCAACATTAAAGAGCACTGGATACATGCGAAGTAGCTTTCCTTCTTTTATCTCTTGTGGTAGCAACTCAAACATCTTTGCCGGAAGCTGGACCTCTATGACATAATGCTCACTAGGAAAAATAAAAGGAACAATAAGAATAGGAATATTGCTTAGTTGGCTTGAAATTATAATTTTCCTAAGTCACAGTGAACTTTTAAGCATGCAGACCAGTTCCATCTTTTCCTCTTAACTGTGTTAAGACACCAAACGTTGAAGATCAGCTTGCTTGTTCTAGGAGTACTACAAGCTTATTTGGAAATAGGTAAGTATATACAGTTACATGCACTTGACATGACTTCTTCACTGAAGTGAAAAAAGGATTAGAAGTGAGATTGGCAGAAAAGTCTTCTACTACCAAAATAGCAGTGAGAACACCCCAACTTTTAAAAAGAATCTTCTGAATTACAAAAAACAACTTCCTTCTGAAAGCCAGAACTTGAGATCCCTCCTGCTCACTCACAATGGTCTCGATACAGAAAAAAAACCTTCATAAAATCCCAACGCAAAATTCCTATTTTCTTCAGTCTGGATTTTCACCCTGAGGTTAGAAAGCATAATGAACAACACATGGACTCTGTTCAGATAACAACTGAAGATTGATTTCTGAAACATGAAACCTACTTTAGGAGAAGGATGTAATCAAACATTTTTGGTTTTACACTGTGTTTGGTTGGACTTTATAAAAAATGTTACTTTGATTGCCAGTTCAGTTTCTTACGTCCTTCACTGTGAAACCCTCAAGCTCAATTTCACCTGTTTTTGAGGACTGATGCCAGATTTAACACGACAAACAATAATAATGAGTTAACTTGTTTCTTAATAGCTTTCTTACTCTAATTAGAGCAATCAGATTAGTAAAAAAGAATACATTAGAAGCAAATCCTTTTGTCTTCAGGACTTGGAAGTTTTAATTGTTCAGAGAGGGCCAAATGATGCCAAAGAGCCTTCCTACAGAACTCACTTCAGTATGGCATCAAGAAAAAGAAACATAACAACAGCAGTGAAGGAGGATCTATAACCTACCTGAAGAAGGTAGGATTCTCACATGATGCATGCAAACTTAAGATGGAAAAGGATGGATTTTGTTCTTTTGACTTGACTTAGTGTTTGGTTTTTTTTTTTTTTTTTTCTAAATAACACTGTTTGCTTCTACTAAAATAATTTATCTTGAAGTCTCTCAATCAATCAATCACGTATTTGCTGAAAAAGTCAAATAGAAATTTGAGCTCCCAAATGTAGAAGTTGGAGGGAAAAGGGGAAGGCAGAAAACTTTACAGAAAAATGACAAGCTAGATAAACAATCTCAGAGCATGTGCCCTGACCACACATCTGAGAACATCATAAACCGTGTTCAAAACAGACTTACGATTAAAACAGAATTACATGTGGCAAGGGCAACAGCACATGCTTTGATACGGTCTAGATCTACTGCACAGTCTTTGAGCAAAAGAGAGATACTCCACATTAAGGACATTGGTAGTAGCCATAAATGGAGGATATGTGACTCAGAGGTTTTCTGTTTTAAGTAATTCATCCATACGAATGAAAAGTTAGCAAGGATGACAGTAAGGGACGTTGAACTTAGTACAACGGCATTCATCCTCAGCCTGCAAACTACCATTCCTAGCTGCTGTGAAGTTACTAGAACCTCCTTCCTGTGATGCAGTGCTTTCAGGAGGTTGAAAAAAAAAATGTTCGCTTAGTTTAATTTCAAGAATGTATGTTACTGAACCAAAAACATCTTAAAATCACTGTTTTATGTGCATTTCACATCCTCAAAATCACTACAGAACTTTCAGTGTATGAAACGACATTCCTCAATGTTGACCTTTAGCCATGATAAATTAACACTGGTATCATTTAAGAGCCTCTTCTTACCTTAAATTAAATAAATAAATTACATCTGTTCAAATCTTAGAGATGATCCCTGGTAAAATTGTAACATCTTTAACCACTTTCATAATTAGAACAATCCTCTTTTCATCATTTAAGAAAAAGGCTATTCAACTGTGAGAATAACTCCAGAAATGGCTCTGAAGTCATGTAGAAAGAAGAAATAAAACCAAACTACTGACAACTGGAGAACCTGACATTCAACTTACCAAAATTTTACAAATTCTATGATTTTACTTATGTAAGAAGGAGTCTAAAGCAACATATTTTAGTTTTACTTAGTTTCTTTATGACTAATTTCAGTGCAAATGTACTAAGCAGTTTTGACATGTAGTGGCCCTACTATCCATCTTGTTTTCCAATACAAAGGTGAGAAACCAAAAAACAAACAAAAAAAATAAGTAAATGGTTTTTTAACACTTGATGATCTGTCAGGCAGAAAGAGAAACAAAACAAGCAGTAGAAAAACCCTGCATGTTCACAAGTGTAAACAGTACATTATCATTTATTTGTCAACTAATTCTAGAAATTTAGGTATTCTGTATTTTCTTCACTTAAACATAACTTCTTAAGAGCACCCCTTCTATTTGCCTTGTTCTCTTACATTTGTTATTATGGCAAAGGATAGATAAATACTTTCAGTCTCGATAAAAAGCTTCCCACAATTAACCCCATGCACGTGAGGGCCACGGACTGGAGTTATTTGCAGTCAGCTGCAAAAGCACACACAGCTCATTGCCATAAACACAGAACAAGTCATTTACACGCACCCTTGCTTTGCAACAGAAAAAAAAAATGTAAATACAGCCTCTGTATCTCAGCAGGGAGATGCTTTAACCAGCCAAGTGACAACTGTTTAGATCACTTCAATGTAGCTGCAATGTGCCAGCCTGCTCATGTGCTTCGCTGAAAGCACTTCTATCAAGCTCTGCAATGCCTCAAAGTTCAGGCACACAATCATACATGTGCTAACAAAGCGTTTTATGGAAGCGCTAACTAGTTTTGTCCATAAAAAAGCATGCAAGCACCTGAACTTTATTCCACCAGTCAGCCACCCATGCTAGTGGGTGAACACTACTCAATGCCATGCTGTTTGGATTGCTTTGATTTTTATACATAGAATCTCAGTCTTCAACAGTTTCCCTCAAAAATCAAATAAGTGAACACTCTGATTCTGCAAATTAAGAACCAGTAGCTTTGTGTTCTGCCTTGCATTTCTACAGTTAATACGGTGTGCAGTATTAACTGTAGAAATGCAAAATGTTGCCTTATTTTATTAAGCTACATCATATAAAAATCATCTCCAGAAACAACCACCAAAGCAAACTAAAACTGTTGATTCTCTAATCATTCACTAGCACACACTCAGTTCTTCCAGTCTTCTCTTTTTACAACCAGCTTCCAAATGCTGTTTCATAGGAGCTGTCTCATTACAGCTCTAAGAGAAACAGGGCTCCATACAAGCCTTAGATGGCTTTCTTTTTTTGTCTGATATCAATTCCACTGAGTTAACTCTTGCCAGTAAGTACAGTACAAGAACCACACACAGTAACTCTTCTATAAGAATGAGTACTTTATCAACCCAAAATGCTTCAGGGGCAGCTTCGGGCTTGAGTCTAGCATAACCAGGAACTCCTTGTGTGACAGTTCAGTGTACTGCAGCAAAGGCAGCAAGCTTGTAAATGTAGCAGCTAGGTTTTTGACAAGTTTGACTCGTGTGATTTACAGAGTATGAATTTCTTCTGCCTATCTGTACATCATAATTACTCTCAATTAGTCCCGATGTGTTGCCTATCATACTCTGGCCTTCCTACTATTTAGTTCGATCCCTTCTGGATAGGCCCATAGGATGAGAATTAATCATCTAGAATAATTAAGTAAAACAGTTGTGAGAGCCTCCTTCAGAAGAAACACTGTTTCTAAAAGTTGCTGCTTTGAGCTGAATTCAATTTACTGTCGGATTAAGAATAACAACAATATTAAGGAAGTGATTTCTGCAAAAGAGAAAACATTTGGAGCTTCAGCCCAGAATAATACCGAAGAGTAAAATCCCATTCCTCAAGTGTAACCACCTTTTTAACCCTTTTCAAGCCAAGATCAATCAAATATTTCAGTTTATGTACCAATATTCGATACTGCTTATGTGAGATGCATGATGTGCAATGCATTAATGGCTTTCCACAAGGACTCCCGATGCTGCATGTGTTCTGAATGATCTTCAGCAAATACGATAGGCTTCATTCTTCAAAACTGCCCATTTGTGTGCTAGTCTTTGGCATCTGAGTTATTCAATTTTCATCTTAAGACAACCAAGGTCTAGCTCTTTGAAATGTGATTCCATTTGTCATGTAACTAAAAAATTCAAGTTACGGTCACCTCCAAATAAGGTATATTTAGTTAGAGACCACTTCTGTCAATACTGACCTTGTCATTACTTTTTTTTTTTTGGTGCCTGGATATGAAAAAATACAACACAAATTTTACACACAATTCAGACACTGTCACAATTAACTTGTATTAATATTTGGAACTTATAGGTCCTCATCAAGAAAGCAACACAGAGCCCATATTACTGATAGCTTTAAGAATGCCTCATATTACCTCATTACATCTCATTTGCCTCATGAAAAATAAATCTCTTGCACTTTCCATATAAAAGAACTCAGCAACAAACAAATCATTGTGTGCATTTTCAAGAGCTACCATTTAGAACTACCTGCTGTGTGCTGCAGGAAAAAACAAATCTTACCGCCTTCCAGTTATAATAGGCAAAAAGTCTTCTGATTTAGCTTCAATGACTTTAAACATTACTTTCTGCAAATCAGAAATTCCCACAGCCATGTCTTCGAGCATCCCTGCTTCTTCACCTATATGGAAAGATCACAGAAGTTATTTAACAGAGAAGACAGATCAGTCACCGAATAGGTTACAGTAAGGCAATGCAGGGATTATACTTCCCAGTCAGTGCATCTAAAAGTCACAGCCCCAAATCCACATTCAAGTAACCTACATAAAAGCAGGCTGATTTTAAGAACTGCTGACAATTCCCTGTGGCCTAGATGATAACAACGAGTATTAAGCACCTCTGAAAATCAACCTGTTCTATATGTGCATGGAATAACTTCAGAAAAGCCTTCTTTTGACTGTTCTAAAAGTGTATTTAAAGACTGTCCTGCTGATGGAGGACAAAGGCTTTAAGAATAACAGTGAATATTGTGTAAATGGAGTCTGATAGCAGTCTCCAAGAGTGGAGATGCAATTGCTTATGCAGCAAAGACCTGCACAAATGCTAAATCCTTCTACTTAATCAAAAATCTCTATTTTGGGGAAGTATTCCGATACACCTGGTTCAAACCGTTTTGAAATGAGCTGCGATTTCTCTCTCCAAATATCTTTTAATTATAGATCAAATGATGGAACTTAAAACAATTTAGGCATTAAACAATTTTCAAGTTATCTTCACATCGCCAATAATGACACAGGGCGCAGAACAGTCAGTAACTACTTACACGCTCTGTTTGGATTAGCTTCATAAACCTATTTTGGGTCAGGTCAAATGCCTCTGCAAACACTATCTGCCAAAATCAAGAGATCCCCTAGCTGTACTGATGAAGCTAACCTCCTGTATTTAAGGCACTGCGGTTCAGCACTCTGCATCAGCTACTACTCCTTGAGAGAGTGAAAAGAAATTAAGTAATTTATGATATATTACATTGACAACAGTATACCAATGGCTTCAATTGTGCTATGATATAGAAGCCTACGTTCTCTTCAAGGTAATATTTCTTGATTAAATAAGCCAAATTTCTGGAAAAAGAACCAAGGTTAAATTAAGAAACTCCTGGGTAAACATCTGGTCTGCATGCATAAGGAATTCTGTCCAAGAACTCTACTTACTATATGTGCTTAGGAGTCCTTCATATTGCACAAGTAATCCAACAGTATGAAGCTGTTGTAAAAATCCTTGATCATGTAAACCTGTGTGCAGCTTGATTATAAACCCACAGACCAATCCAGCAAGCTATAAAGACAATAAGAAATGTGAAGTCACATCAGTAATATTTAGATACTTCAGAAAACAACTTAGGTATTTCTACTTAGCGACTACATACATTACTTCATATTAGTTTATTGGTGAGCCACTTTGTGGTATAAAAACAAGTAAAATATTCTCTTAATATTGCAAAAACTTTTTTTTTTTTTTTTTTTTTTTTTTTTTGAGTTTATATTATTTACTGTGGCATAAATGAGAACAGAACCTTCCATAACAGAATATAAACACATAAGGATGTGAATTATAATAGATTTTGATGCAGGTTGGCACCTAATGCAAACATCTCCTTGCTCACCACACCCTATCTCCTTAACTGTGTTAGGAAAAACACACAGTATCTTGAAGGAGAAATTAGACAACTCATTTAGAGGCAAGTTATCTGGATGGCACCATCTACAGCAGAGGATCAAAAGAACTTCACCTTTTACCATGAGAAGACTAGTCTGAAGAGAGACATGTTGACAGTCTTCAGACACATGAAATACTGATTCAAACTGAAAACAAATGATCTATAATTCATTTCCAAGGTGACCAGGGAAAAATCTCTGGCTGCTGCTCAAATAGCAGCAAGGAACATTCAGGCTAGACTTGAGATCCTTGCAGGTAAGGATCCTGGCATAGGTAATCTGGGAAGACTGTGTCAATAGCTTTATGGATCTTTCTTTGTGCAAAGGTGATAGATTATGTAAGATATTTCAGTTTATAGCAAACCGATTTCTGCAACTCAGTGATTCAGTTAGTATGGATTTCCATTTACTATTGATTTTTCTAACACATTATAAAATATTTAGGTGGATGTAATGGAAAAATACATGAAAAAGCTGTGTTTAACTTGGAGGAAAAAAAAAATAAATCAACAAACCAACACATATGCAAGCATAGTATGTTCAATTACAGCAACACTAACAACATCAAAAATAGTCACCACAGTAGAGGATAAGTGACATTAGACAACCTACTGCTTGACTAAAGACAATGTCTCTCCTTAGGGTCAGCATCAAACATTGTGGCAAACCACAGGCAAGCTCCTGGAGCAGAACAAACGCCATGGACTGCTTTGCCCTAGTGACCACCTCTCCCATGCAATCCTTCAGCGTAATCACCAGGGGATAAAGCTGCTCATACCAGTCACCTAGAACAAGACAGATCATTAGTTCCAAAACAGGAAAGTAGTAGAAAAAAAGTTTGTTTTCAGATTGGAGAGTGAGCTGCAATAGAACGTCTTAGACTTCTGGTAACACTACAGCTCTATTCTAACCATTGCGGGTCTGCAAAAACAAGAGAAACGACTCTAGCTTACCACTGAGATGAGGGATATTTTTTCTAACAAACTGAATTTCTCTGAAAAGCCTGCACTGAAGTGTTGTACACAGAACATTTTGGGGTAAGAGTGAAAACTCATTTAGTGTGACATGAATATGATGGAGAATCTCATCTTCTATCTAGCACTGACAACTCAGATCTAAGTAAATTAAATGCAGTCAAATAAGAAAAAAAAAAACCAAACTCAGAAAGAGCACATATTGAAGAAAGAATGGGTGCTGGAAGGCAAAAAAGAAGAACAAATAGTTACCTGGGAAGGATATTACCTATTTAATGTATAGGCTGGAAAGATAGTAACCTTCAAGTCACAATCATTTTTCTTTTTAGTTTCTGCCTGTATTCCCTTTAAATAGAGATATTGAACTCATTTTTTTTAGCCACTCTGAACAGAGAGATTTCAAACAACTCTATAAAATGTTTTGCTCAGTTAAAATAACGTTAGGAATATCAGGAAAAAATAGGCTGTTGAAACGTATGAAAAAAATGGGACTTATGAACATATTAGAAATGATAGAAAGTGATAATGAGGAATGGAGGAAAAATAGAATAGCTTACTCAAAGTTGCCCAATTACTTAAGCTACTCCTGCATTTGTCAAGATTTAATAAAAGCAGACCTGCACTGTACTTACCTATGGTTTTGTTCACCCCTCTACAATGAGCAAATAATAAAGAAAAAAATGTTCTCTTTCAGAATGTCCCTCTCTTGCTTTCATTGTTGTAGTTTCAAAAGAAAAAAACCTACGCTTGAGAAAAATCCATATAAAAACAGGGAGTGTAACTGACCTAATTCTGTTCATCACTAAGTCATTTAACCTGTAGTGTAATTAAGAATCAATGATAATCAAAATTTGTTCAATTTCAACTGTAATTACGTATAAGATAACTGCATATTTTTTCTGGTAACAGAATCTGAATCGGATCAGCAAGAGCCTCATTAGCACTAAGTTCTTTAAACAACACCACATAGCTGCCTGCTGCAAAGTTAATTTGGCCATGCTACAGAAAAATACGGAAACGGATAAAACTGTAGCCAAGACAACAGAGAGAACTTTGAAAGCTAGGAGGAACCGCGAAAAATGAAGCTGCAGGAAGGAACAAAGAGGAATTTAGAAAGAGTGGTCAGAGAAAGTAACTTGGATTGCTTTGTGAACAGTGCCTATGTGATGAGACAAACTGTGTTTTAAGAGGCATACGTATCTCAGTGGAAGAAATAAAGACTGAAGAGCTGTTCCCTGGAAAAGAGAAGTTATCAAGTTATAGCCATCATGAACCAAACAGAACATAAGCATCTCCAGTTCCATCCTGCAGCAAGGAGCTGATTTTATACAAAAATATTGGTAACAACACATGCCAGCATCTGGTTTTCGCATTTTCAAAACTATGAGAGCTTGCAGAGGAGACCTACCAAGATTTAAGGTTTAATCTTCATAAGCCTATAAAAAAGATGAAGCAGTAATTTGATTTCTGTACTTTATGAAGAAAAAACGAAGAGTACTAAAGGGGATCTGTATTCTAGGGAATAAAAGCAGAAGAATCAAAGGCTGGAGGCTGCTGTGAGACACACTCAAATTTATAAATACAGCAGAAAACTTGAAGTCAGGCTAGGTCGATCAGACCACCTAAATTATTCTTTCTAGTCTTAAATTAGACTGATTTATTAAATTAATCCATAAGTAAATGCCATGAAAAGCAGAACAAGACTAAAACACAACGTGCACTAAATCAGTGTGCAGGGCATAAGTGCAGATAAAAATAGAATTTCTAGTCTGCTTCTCACTTGAGCAAATAACTCGATGAAATCTGGGTATTCCCATTTTTCTTACAAAGAGCAGCACAACCTAAGCTGTAAAAGCATGACCACTTCAGGATAGAAAAGCAGACCTGAAGGTAGAGCCAATCTGCCCCAAAGCAGAGTTGCACAGACAAATCCAAGTACACTGACACCAGGGCGAGAAAAGAAAAAGATGAATTTGCAGACCTAGATGAATTTTACGTGCACACTTCCGCAACTTAGTTTATGGGGAAAGGACTAAGGAGATTCAACAACACTCCTTCACAGAAGAGCGGGTCACACACCAACCATAAAAGTCAAGTAACATTGACATCTTATTCCACCAAGTTGCCCCTTAATCTGACACTCCACATAGTGCATTTCTGCTTCTTCAGGAACATAACTTTGTACTTGTCCTCAGTGAACTGCATTCTAGTACTTCAGCGCTCCATTTCGTCAACATCCATTCTAGTCCTACTCCCATGGTGCTTAAAGCATCTCCCAGCTTTAATCGTCTGCAAATTTTATGAGACACATCTATGTTTCATAAGCCAAGTCAGTAAAGAAAATGTTGAATAATACTGCACTGAGAACAACTCTAAGTGGATTCTACTTCATACAGCCTTCCAGGATGCCAGTGAACACCTGATAACTTTACTGTTTTGTGATTTTCTGAATTATTTGTCATGATCCTCGTGCTAGGTAGCTTCACAAACATTTCTTCAGTATTTTTCTAAGACTGTTTGGAAAGTAATTCTTGTAAAGATAAAAATTGGAAATATTTTATCATATTACTAGCACATGTAATGTCAGAATTTGTCAGTTCCTCTTGCACTAAGAAGAAATTCAAAGATTTAGAGTACTCAAGGCCATTTTCTTCATTGAATAACAGTCAAGGTAACTATATTAAAAATAGATCCTACCCAAAGAAAACAGTGATATAATATTACTCCACAGAAAGCTTTACTTTTATATGCACCTTGCTTTGTAGACAACAATGAAAAACCTAAGTTTGTAGGAAGCCTTACCTGAATGGCTAAATAAATGAGAAATTATTTTATTTTAGAGTATAGAATAGATTTGTACTTGATAACCGGAAAGATGAAAATACAATACTTGCACGTAATAAAATGACCTAAAGCAATCGGTTAGCTCCTAGCTTCAGGAAAACTTCTGCTTACCTTTAGTAAGATGTCCAGCCCCCAGAAAGTAGAGCTACTTTGCAAATCAAAAAAGGGATTACACAGCTACTTGAGAACAGAATATTTACGAATAGACAGATATATTTTCAGGTTTGTCCTTTTATTTTTAAGTAAGATTAGTGTTCAAAGATTTAAAAAAATGTGTGTCATAAAACAAGTTATTTCAAGGAACAACTGTAGAGAAACATTCACAGATGCTCAATCATTGGTCTGTGCTAAAATCTCCATGTATCTGATCTTACACTGGACATCCAGTTGCAAATATTCCACTGAGAATATAAAATAAGGTTGTTCATTAGCCACGCACAAATCTGTGTACGAGAAACACAGCAAATACTGCAGCTTTGAAGTTGCTCCTTGAAATTGAGAAGCACATTCATTTAAAAATAACAACAACAAAAAGCAGTGTTTTTTGAGGCCTATATAAATTTCACAGACTTTGGAAAATATAGTACTTACATGCAAAGGATGGCATGGAATACTAATAAAATTAGTGAGAGAAAGTACATGTGAAAACGTACTGATCTAAATTCATGTTTAGATTGTCCTTTTTTACCTTTGCACAATGCGACTCGCGTCTGAAGGTTCTGCTCGGTTACAAGACAACATTTCCATACCTAAAAGAGTTTGGGACAGGATCAAGATGTCTCACAACTCACTCTTCATGAGAAAACCTGCAATCAGGTCAGCATGAGCTGTTGCTGAAAGGAGATGCCAGGAGGATAACCACAGCTCAGGACCTCTGCTCCTGCAGAGACTGACAATAGCTTTGCAGAATCATATAGGGAAAGGAACTGTAAAAATTATTGTTTATGTTCCTAACACATGAAGCACTTAAACAAAACACTGACTTTCAGATATCAAATTTATCTAAAATTGAATTTGCAAGATATTCATCCTCAATAAAGGAACAAGAAGCGTTTCAAAAAGACTGAAGGATTAACTGAATGAATAAACATTTCAGAAAGGACATTAGGATCAAAAAGATAAAGTACAAGTAGACTACAGGATGACTGTCATGTTGCTAACATGACAAGGGCAGCCTGTCCTGTTTGAAATATTTAGCATCCAAACAAAGGTGTCAAAGCCTAGTGATGAGGCAAGAAAACTCAATTCAGAAATCTCAAAAATCTTGCTAGTCAGCCTTCGGATAGAAAACTAAAACAAGGTATAAAATGGAAAACAGAAGGATGAAACTGGAAGAAAACATAATCACTATACAGTTAACATAAGATTAAAACAGGAGTAAGACAGTACAAGTGTAATATTCTCCTTCATCGCTAACAAAGAGTTGTAGAAGTTCAGTTTAGGATGGGATTCTTCAGTCTCATTCTCTCAACTTGCTTGCACAGGCAAATGGCCTGCTCAGCTCTCAGCTTGTCATTCTACATGTTAATATTCAAGCTGCACATGAATTTGATGAAGTTTGGCACAAAAGCGAGCTCCTGCTCTTTTCAAAATCAAGCCCACTGAACTGTTCATTGAAATGTGCTGATGATCAAATAGGAAGAGCCTAAGGCTGTGCAATAGCACTTCTATCTTGTTTTACCCTGGCAACAGAGGAAAAAAACCAATTCTATCATTCCAGTCTGCATCACCTAAAAAAAATCAGTGGATATCTTCGACGGCTTTAATTCACCTCAGAATTTAAATGGTATGAAGTTGCAAACTAAAAATGGAATTGAAGCAGAAGAATGCACAACATCTGGCTTTTAAAGGAACAGAGCACCCTGGAAACTTTTGGTTACAAAGTTAACAGCAGCTACTAAAAACTTAAGCATTTACTGTAGGTAATCATTCCCTTAATAAAAACATATACGAATATATAGAAAGCCCATGATGGGATTGAAGTAACAGGTCATATAATGTAAATTTATTGACATCACAAATTGAACATGCTAGTCTAAACCTAATGGCTCAAAAAAAAAAAAAAAAAAAAAAAAAAAAAAAAAAAAAAAAAAAAAAAAGGCCAGCAAAACAAATCAACCAACCCAAAACTGAAACAATCTCCTCAGAAACAGCTGGTGCAAATTACTGCAGAAAGCAGTAATTAAGGCCAATGGTCTGAATTTACTCCTTCAGGACTGCACCAAGCTCACTATTCCTTTGTTTTCCTCTTAACTCTTGCAGTTATTTGATTCAAAGATCAGAACTCAGCTCTTTGAAAAGGGATGAGGTTTTATCCTTCTAACTCTGCAATATTTCTCACTTCTCAGTGGAACGTCAGAAATCTGAGTCTTCCAGGTATTTCTGCAGCCAATGTAACAGGAGTCGATCACGTAGTTCTGGTGCCGAAGGAAACTAATTTAAGATCTTGGAGACTTATCACTCCATTCCAATCATCTGAGATTTTCTGCATCGTCAGAAAGATTAAGAGCAAAAGCTGAAACCCACTAACCATATATTTACACATTTGTGTCCCCAAAACTTTGGTCTCATTGAAAACAAGAGAAGAAGGTGATGGCAACAACGAGGTTAAAACTAATGTAAAAGACTGAAGATACAGAAATAACGTACAAACATTTCTCTACAAGTGTTACACAAGAAATATTCTGACATCTCGTTTAAGAAAATAGTTTGTTGAATCAGTCTTTGTTTGCCTTATTTATTTTTGAGCTTCTGTCAACAGCTTAATTACCAATAGCAAATACTGCTGTAGTGGCTGTCCCATGTTCTGGGCTACATACAGCTCGGCTAATGAACCTACCAAAAAGAGAAGGAAGACAGAGATTAGCTGGAAACGCAAGTGGAAAAACAGAAGTAATACATCACATTTTGGAAAAAGAGCTGATGCGAAGACTTACAGAAAACAAGAAAGAAAAATTTGAGGAAAAGTAATGGAAGAGTAGGTTTTTCAGTATTGCTCTTCATTTTCTCAAAATAAATAGCACTTGTTAATCAAGGAACAGACTAGGGGACAATTTTTCATCTGCCCAATTAAATGATCACTTGAAGTAAAAACTGTTCTTCTGAAGATGCAAACAAAATCACACCAATTTATTTCACATTTCTATTGGCAATTGCATTCGGATGGATGCAAGGATGCAATTCCCTGGGGCACTGACAGACAGAAGGATTTAATCTAGACTTCAAGTCCTCATCAGGTATCAGATTATTCAAAAAATAAATTAACATATGCAGTCTGTAGCAATGTGGCTATGAACAGATGTTTTCCTTCATTTGACTCAAGAAATATGGCACCATTCCCCAGGTACTCATCATAACTTACACTGAAAGTAACCCTTAACCAATTAATCTGCCCAACAGCTTAGTTTTTGACTTCATATTTCATCGCAGGCAAAATCCAGGTGCAATCACAATGCCAGTTTAAATTCTTCGAGATAACTTGGTTGATTTTGTATGTGGCAGATTAGGAAGTACTCACAAAGAGCCAGTGGAAGAGAAGTTGAATGTGATAGTTCAGATGGAGGAGTACAAAGAGCAGCTCGTACCACCACAGATAAACACAGACATCTAAGAATAAACCTAAGAATGAACTATTGCATTTTACTGGCATCTCTAATTCTCCAGAACATGCTTTCACATTCTGACTCTGATGAAAAATGATAAGACAAAAATAAAGAGAATTCAATGCTGTCAAGTAATTCTCCAAAGAAAAACAGTCTTGAGTTAAAAAAGGTAAAAAGTTCCCTTAAAACCCATCTACTCTTCCTTATTTACCCTGCAGAGAAATCATAATCCTGCAAGTGATGAAATCACAGCACGTTACCTTGGTAAGTGATAACTCAAATTCAGTCTTAAGAGTCAACTAAAAAGTCAGACTGCATGAAAAGGCAGGCCAAGAAAGGTATAACTCACACTGAAAGCTAACTACAAGAAAATGGTGCCACAAGCATTTCTGATTAAAAAGATTCCATACTACAAATACAGCCATGTTGGGAAAAAAAAGAATAAGATCATTCAGTGACAATATTGAGACTGCAAATACAAACCTATCTTCACAACCTTCAAGTATGTTTAATGGTAATACTTGCAGTTACAGGAATACGTTATTGCTCAAAAATATCAAATTACCCTCAGAACTTTTTCTACTGTCTAAAATGAATGCATGTTGTGTTCTTTGCACTCTTCTTCGTTGTTTATTAGATGCTATACAAAATTCTGTATTGTAACAGGCAGGTTCACTAATACAAGGAAACATTTTATCCCATAATTTAAGGCGCATTTTTCAAAAATTTGATCAAGTTCTGTGTATTTCCCATTTTTCTTACAAACAGCAGCACAACTTTACATACTATCAGCTCCAGGACTGAAGCATTTTCAGATTTTAAGATCTATCTGTGCCCATACATTCAGGCATTACTCAACCTGGTTATGCTCATATTATGGTATAATATATATGCACATGATATTGCAAACTTCTCACGTGCATGCTGCTTGTGAATTGAATGTAGTATAAAATTGTAATATTTTAGAAAAAGTACACTCTTACTTTATATACAAGAAAAAGTTATCAACTGCTGCAACTAGTCTTCAAATATAAAAGGAGGAGAGTTAAGGTTTAATTTAATTTTAACCCCAAACATTATCTCCATCATATGTAGGTGATTCTTCACATCAAACTGTAATGAGATGCAGAGACTAACAAAACAAAATCATGCTTTCATGAAGAGATCAAGCACGAAAAAGTCCCCCCACAAATCTCCTACAGGGTGCAAGTGTTGCAAAACACTCCACGCAACTCAAAAGATGCACCAACTCCACTGTCACGTAAGGGCACTGGTACTGACTCAAGAGGCATTGAGAAGACAATGAAATGTGAGATACATTTATAAGAGAAATTTATCGCAGTACCACAAGCCTAGGTCATCTCCAGAAGACAACTTCTTAGTTGAACAAAACACAGTATAATTTTCTAACCATTACAATCATCATTATTGCTTACCAAGAGGCATTCCTCATTCTATTTGATGAACTATCATAATACTTAAAAGGAAATGTAAGGGTTTTTTATTTTGTGAGCTAAAAATTCCAATGAATATTTAATTCGCCTGTGTAGGGTGTGAGCCTACAATCAAAGCTAACAGTACTGTTTTTTTACAACTGTAGTGAAATTGCACTGGTGCTAGTTAAGTACATTTCATGCATTACACTGAAAAACAGATTTTCAGGAAGTTGAAAATAGTGAGGGAAAACTAGTAAACATTCACTTGCTAGCGAACTAGTAAACATTCACTTGCTAAGTGTTTTTGCTTGTATGAACAGAAGGAATAAAAACATGAAGATAATCCTAAATCATAATTTTTCAAGACTGGATTAAAATAATAAGAATAGCAATCTCTAATTTTGTTCCCTAGTGAAAAATACTTTTAACCATTGGAGTACAGAAAAAAAAACAGCATGTGACTCTCAGTACAAACATACTGTAAGTAACAGGAAATCTATGCGAGTATACTACAGCTTTATCTGCAAAACAGAATTAATTGGCATCCTGAGTTTCAACTAATAGTAGAAAAATCAGTTAACACCAGGAGGAGAAGAGCGAGGCACAAGAAAAATGCATTTCATTCTTTTAAACAAAATCAGTATGGATGAGTTCATTTTCTAAAGATTGTTTCAAGTTGACAATTAGATCTACCTTGCCATTAAGACTGTTGTATATTCTTATCTAAAGGTCTGAAAAACGTAGGAAGCTTCTTTGAAAAAAGCTACTTCTGTTGATAAAAGCTTTTATCTGCAATTGAATAAACCAGACTACTGCCATTGAAAGCTATGACTAGGCAAATCTTTTCTGTCAGCAATCTCAAAGATGCTATTTGGCTCCTTTATCTCATTTTTCTGTGGCTTTTCCCATTTGTAGTTACACTAGTTAACAATTATTAAAAAAAATAGAAATAAAGAAAACAGAAACAAAAAAAATCATAGCAAAAGGTTGCTTACTGCCTGCATGCTTGCAATCTGCTGCTGAGGGGTCAATTTCACCATCTTTAACCTTGCCGCTGTTGTCTTTTTCAAGCAGTTTGTCCACCATGGCAATAACACAGTTTAAACTCTTCCCCACATTGGCCCACACCCTGTCCTGAAAAGAGCATAATATAATCACTGCACATTACTGAAAAAGGATAAAGAGACAAAACCAACTTCTTATCGAAACATTAAAATGGAGACAATTTACAGAAAAATTAGGTGTCAGCATATTACCATTTTTCTCATTCTACAGGCAGTTTAAGCCTGTTACATGGACTGAATGACAACTGTAATCATGTTGCTTTTTTTTAAATATTAAAAGAAACAGTTCAAATTCTATACGAAAATGCATGCGAAGCTATTTATTTCAGGTTCAATCACAGGGAACTGAGCAGATTATCTGTTTGACTTTATACACTAAAGGTATAGACACACAAGTCCTTGACAAATCAAATCCTGTGGGCAACAAGCTATTTCACCACGGTACTTCACAACCTCTTTTTAGTAATTCAACATATCCTCTATTTTATCACTTGGCGTAGTTTGTTAATACAGATGTAAAATTAAAAGAATAATTAACAATTTGCTGTCATGACACATTTGAGGTATCATCTGAGGTAATTTCAGCTTTGTCCTGCACCTCTCACAAAGGCTGCAATTATGAGTCGTACACTGAGTTTACAATAAATACGAGAAATCCAGAAATAATAATGCTGCAGAAGAAAATCCGTACAAGCAGAAAAGGAGAGAGAATGTGGAGGGAGAAAAAGAGTTACCACAGAATAGATACAGGCAGGGTCCCATCATGTGCTGCGTGGTGCAGAATTCAAAGCTCTTGCACATAGACTAACAGGGTAGAATAAGAAAAAAGAATGCAACCAAGCAATACAAGAAATGAAGTTGCACACAAGACTCATAGTCAGAGTAAAAAAAAAAAAAAAAAAAAAAAAAGAAAAAACCTAACAACCAAACCTGAAACAACACACATACATGCAAAGTCATTCTTATGCTGATACAGAGCAATCAGCTTTCTTGATGGTTAAGAACGGAAAGATACAATCAATACTCTTTTCTTCTTTACAATGACCAAAAGTTTAAGGTACACATCAGGCTTTAAGACATAAAAACGGATGTGCAAAAAGACAACGTGAGAGAATGGCAGGGAAAGCAACTGAAAACTCAAAGAAATATCACAGTTCCATATAAGTGGCAGCACTTGAAAGTTGTGTGAGTGCAAAGAAAGAACTACTACTAAGGCAAACTTATTAAAGATTTACTTCCAATTGCATGTCACAACTCTTAGGCCAGTCTCCGACACCAACAGAGGGATCTCACCTTTCTACATTCCTTCCACTTGAGGGCACACACACCCTGTGACAAATGGGCATTCTGCCTGGAGAGACACAACGCAAATCTACACATAGAGAAGCATGTACGTGCTGGAAACACATGGCAACACAGATCATGGCTCTCCAGCTCAGAATACAGAGGAAAACTCAGAATTGGAAAGAATTTGTAGGGCTGCCGCAAGAGCGAGTGAGCTGATGTACAATTGGCAATAAACTGTATTTAATCCACAAATACATTTTTGAGAAGTACTGCATTTGTAGTACAATGCAACAAGTGGAAATATTTGCGCTTGTACACAAGAAATATACTCCTACATATGTTCCTGAAATCCGCATGCACAGATGCAATTAAAAGTCAAAAATAGAGGACAGGTAGAATTTAATGAGAAATTAATTCTCATGCAAGTACCTAAAATATTCCTGAAAAATTTTCACAGTATGGATGAAATGATTGTTTTCCAGCCCCCACAAGCATTAGTTTTGGGAAAACAGGTGACGTCTAATGTTGCAAATAGTAAAAATCCAAGCTCAAAAGAGCTCCAAGTTTTACTGGAGAATGGCAGAGAGCATCAGTCTTCATAATCACTGAAGTTGCTAAGGTATATGAGCTCAAATCATTCAGCACAGCTGCAGGAACATAATTTCCCTTTCCTCCCTCTGCTGGGGCAGTTCAATCCTAACACAAACAGTGCTAAGTTGTTAACGCAAATAAGTGCTTTAGTTCATTTAGGAAGGAACACTTCTCCATGTAAACCAACTTTTAACCTAGCATTAAGATGATGTCTACAGAATATTCACACAAACATTCCCTGAGGGTTTAGAAGATTCATAAACATCTGTTGACAGAAAGCTCATTTTTATTATCACACATCTGGCCATTTCACATGACAGCAAGTGAAACAGAGCAAAAGCTTGTTGTCCCCAAGCTCTTTCTCTCCAGATACGAGGTTCTTACGATTCAAAGTTATCACTATATGCAGACATAGACATATGCAGAAGTAGATGTGTCTATCATTTGCGGTGATGTTATACTGTCTACATCAAATACGGCCTCATTGTAAAGAGCACATCTTGAGTAAAATTGTTCTCTCCAATCAATGAAAATCAAGTGACTCCTTGCTCTTTTACATAAGAGATGATACACAAATTTCACATTCCTTCTTCTCCCTCGCCTTTCACGTGTCTTCCTTTAGCCTAGCACACCTTCCAGTCACCTTGCATGTTCTTAAGCAATTTATTTTCCGCTTGCCTATAAAATGTGTCACTAATTATCATTTTGCAGCGTGTGTCAGATTAAAACACAAAACACACTCTGTCTTATAAGCCTTCTGCGTGAAGTTAGGATGGGGAAGAAAATAATTGCTATTTCTTCATACATCGAAGTGCTGAGACCTTAGGTTCTTCAACAGGATGCTTCTTCCCTGACAGCAGTTGCCACAGAGCTAACTGGGTGTTTATTCCAGTGGTGTCAACAACCAAGAGAAATAAGATTTCTGGCTCATTCCTTTCTGCCTCTTTAAACTCGTAAGTCAAACTAATGACAGAAAAAATGTGCAACAAGGCTTGACTGTGCCAGGACAAAGCAGACTGGGATAAATCTATGGCATGTTGACACTGAGATGTGCCCTTTCACATACAACACTACTGTTGCACACTTTACTTGAGCAAAGTTTTGACGCAGCAACTTCATCACTCAGCGCTATGGAGACTCTGTTTTTGAGGTGCAACTTGGGTTCATATCCGTATACTATATTAAAGCCCTTCAGAGGTGTGCTCATAGATAAAGCGAGTATTTTAACTAACGTTCACAATTAAAATCCTGTTGTAATATGACAGTGCTTTGGAATGGAAAGTATACATGGGTCAGTACTTCAGAACAATATCTGAACACCATGCCAATATTTGTAAATAATTTACCGGAAATGATATTTTATGGTCACATTAGGTAGTCTGTCAGAAATGTGGAGCAGAAACAGCTCCAAGGGGCAATGTGCCTACCTTTTCTTGTATAATGCATGACAACATGCACTGTTCCCTCCCAGGTTCTAGGATATTAGAAGCAGCTGGCAAGAGAAGAGGAGAGTATCCAGAGGCAAACTAATGCTCTCAAGTTAAATATTTTTCCTTCAACAGCACTGCTGTATTACTGCCTACATACAGCACACCAATATAAACAGCTCAATCCATACTGCCGTCAGCTACACTGGGATCAATATCTGTACTTGATATCAAAGCAGAGGTACAGCACGGCACTGCTACAGAGAAGAGGAAGGTTATTTGGAAAACATCACTCACACAGTGAAAGGGCACTGTGTGCAGTTAGGAAATGGGGAACTATTCCTTAAGACAAATTTGGGTGCCTAAGAAGGAAGAGATCTTCACAAGTTGTTTCAGTATTGCGCTTTGAATTCACTTTTGTGATGTTTGTGGGATAATGCAGACTTTGAAAGAAGATGGAAAGGACTCAGTGCAAAGAGTTGTTGGACATCTAGATTTTGGACAACTGCAAAATAGAAATCTAAGTTACAAAAACAACTCCTGGTAATAGTGGAGAGAACAGCAAAGCAACAAAGGAGAATATAGTACCCTGCATAAAAATAATTTTCTTCTTTTATATCTGGCTTTCAGAGTAGATTAAGCTTTTTTTTTTTTTTTTTTTTTTTCAAATTTTATATGTGATTCTTCTATTTCCAACATAGTGTCAGCTTGATTATTAAAACTCACATTATTAATACCTGCATTTTAATAAAGAAATAAATATCAATGGAAGCCTAACACCTAATCTTCAAATCCAGGAAAAGGACAACACTTCTTTAAGATTTATAATGTTTGGTATTGACTCAGACCCAGTTTATTAACTCAGAAAATATCTAGGGATGTACTTACATTTAATCAAGAAAGTAATTTTACTAATTCAGCAAGAAAAAAAATCCAATGCTGTAAACTAATGCGTTTCTGTGATTTAGTGATTGGGTGCAAATATCTGGCAGAAAAATATCAATTAAAAAAATAAAATATAGTTCAGCTATCTTCTCTGCAGCAGCAGAATTAGTACATTAAAATACAATTTGCACAAAAATTTCCATTCTCCCTTTTGTCAAATGTATTGTGACATTCATTTTACCGAATGCCTTGTCAGCTGCGATCAAACATTTAGGTTTCAATTTCAAATAAACAGAGACAGTTCTAGTAGCCAGGTTGCAGGAAAGAAACCATGAAAAATGAATTCAAGGTTTTAAAGTCAGCACAGAAACAAAAAGAATGAGTTAGTTATTTATTGTTTAATTCTCATGTCTTCCTAATGAATGGGCAGAGAGATAATTGTCTTTTCTCTTCAAGCCACATTCTTCTTATTTTATTTATGGTATGGATAAAAGCTACCATTTCGGTGTAGGTACTATAGCTCACAGTTATTAATTATTTACAAATAGATTACTACGTCTGAATCCTTTATATTAAATGAGAATACAGTGATGAACTGAATACAGTATGAACCTGAACCGAATAAAAATAACTGGAGTTGGGGGTATATGTAACAAAGAAGCAGATCTTTTGTGAACACATCTACCAAATTATTTAATTTACAAAGCCTCAGCCACAAATAATATACATCTTTGAAAGACATAACAAGAAAGCTAAAATCTGAAACCCGTGTTTGGTTTGTTTTACGCAATCTCAGATATCTTCTAGGAACTAAGTCAATGAGAAAACCTCTCTGTTTTGCTAAGACTTAATTCATGCACGTTGAAACTATTTATGTTCAGTCTTGGCCAAAAAAAATCCCGATATCAGTGCATGCCTTTTCAACCTTCTTAAATGTGTCTAATCAAGAGAAAGATAAAAGTAAACAACGCTTATTCTTCTGTTTATACAATAAGACATTAATCATCCTCTCTATTACTTGCTCCTCTAAGCTGTTGCACTGAAGCACACTGCAGTTAGGAAACTTATTTAAGTTAGTTTTAGGGAAGTATATCATCTTTAAATTCCAGTAACTCAAAATATATTTGAAAAATATTGTTTAATACTTCTGAATTACTTTCCCAACGAAGCGTGACAAACTTACTAGGGCTTCCATTTGTTTATGCTTATTTTCAGGTTTTGGGATGCAATACCAACCAAAAATATTCCAGCTACTTACCCACTCTTCCTCATCATACTCAGAATGATGGGGTATAGAGTCCTGTCTTTTAACCTGAGATGGATGATCCTGATGCTTCAGGTCATCCCCCTCTTCTGCACAGTTTCTAGGCACAGCTGGTTTCTTGAGGACACAGCCAGGTCGGGCTGTATATAGTGCTAAAAGGGCACTTCTGACCAGCTGATCCTTAAATGCATGCACAAACAACTCTGTCTAGAGATAAAGGAAACAAAAATGAATACAAGGTTAGGACAAATAATTTAACAGAGCATTAAAGCAATTACAACGGTGAATTATTCTTAGATAGGGAAGTTTGTGCTTCTGGTCAGTCCAAGGAACAGAAAGCAAGAAACAGCAAAAAATAAGGAACAATTCAAGAGCTTCTATGACATCACATTCTTATCGCTCTAAGACTTAACTAACACAACAGTAAAGTATCTGTATTAGAAATTACCACCTTTTTATACAATCCTGCTTTATTTAAGCTTCAAATTTTTCCTGCAGCAACAACACCAGCTCTAAAAGCATCCAACTACTTTCCAGTCATTTATAGGTGTCAGACAAAATCTGATTAACAAATCATAGAATTGCAGAATGGCCTGGGTTGAAAAGGAACGCAACCACCACTGAGTTTCAGCTCCCCTGCAGCGTGCGGGGTCACCAAGCACCAGACCAGGCTGCCTAAAGCCACATTCAGCCTGGCCTTGAATGCCTCCAGGGATGGGGCATCCACAACCTCCTTGGGCTGAGATCTCCTTATATAAAAAACACTCCGCTCTGCACTGTTGAAATTCAAGTACCTGCAAAAGCAGCGTTGCCAAGTACAAGTTGTGATTCCTATACGTATCAGTCCAGACTTCTGAAAAAAGGAAGGAACCCCTGAAGTAATTTTTCCAGACTCAATACAATTATAACAATAAGATGTTACTTATTATATAATTATAACAACATTACATAATTATTAAATTATATAATTGTTATTATTATAACAATAAGATGTTACTTATTGACAGTCTAACATTTCGAAGTTCTCCTTTTTGACTCTAACAGCTTGAAGTTGATCTTATTTTTAAAAACTTCCCGTCTCCCTGCATTATTTCCTTCTATCACAACAAAAAAAAAAAAGTCAAAATGATAACATTCATCCTTTTTGCATATGGTCTTCAGCATCTCCTGCCTCTGTTTCTGTATAACAGCATAAACCACCTAACTGTTATTTTCTAAGTCATTCTCAAGTTACAATCAATTTACAATATGTAGTGTGATATCTGAGACAGATTAATTCAGGGATGTGAATATAAGTTGGCATTTCACATTTCGCTAATTCTGCTGTATCACAAAGCAAAAGACTTTTGGAGACACCATCATAAAAAGGTTTTAAAAAATAAGATAGGATTGTAGATGTGATTATTACAACATGCTACATCTCCAGAGTTGACTTGTGTCAACTAGTATGGAAAATCCTCACTACATGAGTTTTCACATATCGTCAGCACAATGAAGTCATGCAGAAAAGCATGAAACTGATCTTACCCCTACAAGCAATTGGGTGTGCTATTGGTCAACTTTTTTTTTTTATCCTGGTATAAGACTGTGACTCTCAACTTTTAGTTTAGATTGACAACCTTCAAGAACTGCCTTTCGAAGAGCACTGGTCCCCCACACTCAGTGTTTGCCACGCGCAATCACTTCCCGCTGTCATACACATAGGGCCCCGTTTCCGCTATTTCTCTGAAGGGTGCTGGCTCATTCACACCATCAGTTGACGCAACCAACTGAACCACAGAGAGCGAGGCGCAAGCACACATGCCTTCTCATTATGCAGCAGCAATCACAAGCAAAGCAGCGGAGACAGCTGGAGGAGTCAATTTTAGTTACTTCAGCAATGGTCATCAGACAATCTGTCTGAGATGGGACAGCATGCACCCTGCCAGTTTAACACAGCTCAACCAGGCTACTGTACCTTCTATCTCTGGTCAGGGCCTGTGATTCACAAGAGACAATGAAATACTGTTTCTCATTCCTTCCGCTCCATAATTTTTTGAATTTATTTACCCTATCGGAGGGATTTAATTGATTTCCTATTTGCCGGACTGTCATGTACAGCTTCAGACAGTGAACTACCTTTGCACACATTCTTAAATAAACAAGCACACACAAAGTATATGCCTGTAGAGTGATGAGCCTAAACAAGCAGTTACACAGAGCTAGGAAATACTAAAAATCAAGATTGCCTGGCTAAGCTTTCTTCAGCTCTTTCATGCTTCTTATGCAAAGTCCAGAAGATAAAGCCAAGGAAAAGAAAACAAAAAAAAGAAAAGAACAGGAGCAGGATCTGAGGGCATTGGTTGATGGAACACTCAACATGAGCTGCCAACCCAGAAGGCCAAACGTGTCCTGGGTTGCATCATGAGAAGAGTGACCAGCAGGACGAGGGCACCCAGTTCTGGAGCACCCAACACAATAAAGATACGGGGCTTACAGCAGCCTTCCAGAACCCAAAGGGAGCCTACTGGAAAGCTGGGAAGGGACTTTTTAGAAGTGCAGTAGGATGAGTGGAAACAGTTTTAAACTTGAAGAGGATTTAAGCAAAATTCTAGTAAGAACTTCTTTACTGTGTCAGTGGTGAGACACTAGAACAAGCAGCCCAGTGACGTTGTGGATGCATTCAAGACCAGGCTGGATGGGGCTGTGAGCAACTTGGTCTAGTGGGAGCCATCCCTACCTAAAGCAGAGGGACTGGAAGTGAATAATCTCATATGTCCCTTCCAACCCAAACCATTTGAAGATTCAAGGAAAACAAACGCCCTTAAGTTCTAAGTGTTAGTCTCCATCTTCCTGGAAATCTTTCTCCCAGTTTCTTCCAGTACTCCTTCCCAGTGTTTTATCCAGGCCATTTTGACTAGTATTTACTTCACTTTTACATGCCTTTACTCAAACTATTCTTTTTCTTTGGTTTCCTGCCTCTGTAGCCCTCTAAAAGCCAACTGACATTTAGACCACAATGCTCTAAAGAATTGAAAATGTTTTATGTAATTAAAGCTTTAGCTGCTGAGGTTGGACACGAGACGTCCCTGCTCTTCCGCAGAAACTTTTCAGAAAAAGAACTCTTCTTGATCACAGAATAGTAGGGGTTGGAAGGAACCTTTAGAAGATTGAGTCCAATCCCTCTGCTAAAGCAGCTTCCCTATAGCAGGTCACTCCGGAAGGCATATGGATGTGTCCTGAATATCTCCAGAGGAGACTCCACAACCTTTCTGAGCAGCTTGAAGGCTTCACCACTCAGAGTTAAGAAGTTCTTGCCTGTGTTAATATAGAAGTGCCTGGGTTCCAGTTTCAGCACATTTCCCTTGTCCTACTGTTGATGTCATTGAAAAGAGATCATCCCCACCAGTTGACTGCTGCATTTTAAATTGTTTTGAGAGTCCCCCCTCAGCCTTCTCTTCTCTAAAGTGTCACAGGTCTCTCCGCATTAGATCCCTAATGGGCGAACAGAGAACGCATGAAAATTCGCTGCAACTAAAACTCACAAGGTTTTGAAATAATAACCTAAGAAACACAAAGTCATGATTTTTAAAGTTAGCATCAGGACTTCTGGACTTAATTTGAGATTCTTCTGTGATTAGGCACAATCAATACTATTTAACTCTCAGGCAATTTTATCAGACCCATTTTACCTCTTCACTAATTTAGTACCTGAGGGAAAGGCTACTTAAATACAGACAATTTTCTTATTTGTAGACCTTCAGGACTGCCTCATTGTAGTCTCGAAATTAACTATAAGGCAATTTTGGTTTTTTGTACTTCCAGCCTCCAAATGGTACACACAGTCTAAGCAATATCGCTACCAAACCATACCAATCTTCTATAAAGATGACATAAAATTCTAACTGCAGAATTGTCTTCTCTCACACAGTAATGGGGGAGCTACTTTTTCTGGCTATTCTACAGTTCCTGTCAAAATAGCCCAAACTACTTCTCTGTCATTAGAAATGACAATGCCACGGTTTTGCTGATGCCTTGCATCTCTCTTTCCCCTTCCAGCCTCTTTGAGATCGTATCAGGTTTCTGCATCAGGAATGGTAAACTCAAACAAAAAAAGCTTTCTGTTTCAGAAAGTTGTAAACATTGGGCAATTTTAAGTCAGGAATGCCTACTATGACAGTCATACATATTAGGTAACTCTCTGAAAAGTTTAAGTAATTCAATTTAGATGTAAATATTTTATGGGGAAGAATGTGTTTTAGAAAAGTTGGTATGGAAGTGAATCTCTGTTTTTTTCATATAGAAACTAAAATTCCACCATAATTAAATTCCATTGAATGATTCCTTTGGTTTAGCAGCTATCAACATTTTGCTACATTTTCTTAAAGTTAAATACAGCCAAATTTGCAGAACAACACTATTTATAGAATTTCATTGAAGCCGCAAAACAAGTATATAGAAAGAAACGCAAACTTTCAAGTTCCTTTAGATACTTGACTACAGACTATTTCTGTAAATAAAGATAGGCATAGCTGGAAAATGAATGTATCAAACCTTCTGCAAGCTGCAAATGCTGATACACTTGTCAACAGCTAATGGCTTTTTAAATCAATTAGCAGAAAGTGCTGATAAAAGATTAGTCTTAGAAAAAACTGTACAGTGAATTGCAAATCATACACGGAGAAGTAAAACCTTGATAGAAATATTAGAAAATAAGGTCAATAAAATAAGCGGTGAAATTATTTTCACTTCCAATGCACACGGCCAGTCCTTCCGTTTCTAATAAAATACTTGGCTGTAACTCAAGTTTTACTGCTCCCTAACGTATGGAAACAGCCAGTCTTTATATGAAGCTTAACAATGCCTTGAGTCGAAAACGACACACTTTTTAACAAATTTGAGAAATGTAATTACTGGACAAATATCTTCTCCCAACTTCTTCAAACAGTTGCTTAACTTCAAAATTGGTATCAATTTAAGTAACAGAAAGCTTCTTTCTTACATGTAAAAAGTACACAAAGGGCTCTACAAAATGAAATTCCTCCCTTTTATTTTCAGGCCAAGTTCTCCTTTCCTATATACCCCCACATTTGCAGCAACTCCTCTTTTCCTAAAGTTACTGTGGATTTACACATCTATAACCAAGAGTGACATTTGTCACCCCTGCGGCTCCAGTGCAAAGCCGTCACAGGATGCGGCTGAGCTCAGTATGGAGCTTTGAAACTCTCACACTGAACAACGTGCTGCTGGGACAACGGCTCAACAGACCACAGGGGTTGTCACTTCCCGGTAGCTGAAGATACATTGAAATGGTTATTGATCGTGCTATTAAGTCACATTGAGATCACATTACAGAAGGTAGGGCCCATGAAGCAACAGGGAAATCTTAAAACCCCACTGGTTATAGCTGTAGCACTTAACGTTTTTTGTAGAGAAACATATGCTTAAAATTACTTTGCAGACTTCAGCTAATCTCCAAAATCCCTCTGTGAGACAGGGGGAAAATATTATCTTCTTTAATTTAGAGCTAAAAACCTAAGATGAGGAAGTGCCTACAGCTACAGAAGAAAATAATAGGAGGACAACTAAAACTGAGACCTTCTAGTTCCAACTTCTTCTTCCAAACTGCATCACTTCTGGTCATGCTATTATTTTCACCTTCGTGCACTAGCTTGAACTACCTCCCGTAGGCAGTTGAAGTATCGCAGAAAAATAAATAATATTACAGTTTATCATCCCACAAAATTATCTACAATAACCTATTTTTGATAAACCCTATTACGTGACCACAAGAGGCTAATGAAGACACATGAAATTACATCAGTTATGCTTTCAAATAATGCCAACTCTTACAAGCTCCATTAGTTTTCTATGTGAGTATCTGCAGAAAGGCAAAATACTGTTTTTTTGTTTGTTTGTTTGTTTTTTGATGGCAACATTTTGAAGCTTATTTTAAATTCTATGAAAGGCAACTTATGCTGGAAAAAAGTCCCAGCTGTTACTGAGTTTGTTATTTCATTTTCCACTGCAGCAAAGATTTGAATCTTACTTTTTCTGAAAGCATCTTTAAAGACTGCTTCAAGCTGTCCGGAGAATGCTGGCTTGCAGAATTAAGCAGAAGGTCTGCATGGCTTGATATGAGAGGCTGTAGATGATTGATGTTGCTGAGAACTTCTTTTGCCTTAGCTGTGTTTTCAGGTGAATAGTAAATACACTGGTATCCAGTACTGTAAAAACAGAAAGATAAACGCACATCAAAATGATTTCTGCTATTATTGTGATTAACATGGTAAGATATTGCGAGAATAACGATACTAAAAATTGACATCATTGAAACTTTTCTTCCTTTACCTTAAAGATAAAAAGAAGTCCCTAATTTGAACATCAGAGGAAAATTCAGACTACCAAACATTCTGCTTTCCTTTCATCTGTTCACAAACTACTGCACTTACTCTGCATGGCTTATTTTTGCCTTTCAAATTTAATCCTTTTTTCATTGTATAATTAGTAAATACTGGGGAAAAACACACTATCCTTTCATCTCATTATTCCAAAATACTGTTTTTAGGCAGAGTATATTCCCACCGGTGGAGAAAAAAAAAACACAGCATACAAGACCTGGGTGCACAGTGCATTTTACTCCTAATTTATTCATGCTTCCAACAGGCATGATTTTATTTAACTACTCAGTTAAGAGCTCAAGGAAGAGGACCTAGTGGATAAAAAAAATAGATGTCAGGCCATTCCAACAACCCATACACAAAATGCCTAGCTGGCCATATTACACCCATTAAAACGTATTTAATTACATCACCAAGCTACTCCTGGAAGATTATCAATGACAGAGCATCCCTCAGCTGCCTCAGTATGCATCACTCAACTTTCGTCTTTTGTCTTTTCTTCATTTATCCATACTTTTCTTCAACAACCTTATGCATCTCCCCTTCCCCTCTCTCCTAATTTCAATTCTTCTCTTATCAAGACCTCAATTTTTACACTCATGTAGTCTTTGGAACTTCACTGATTGTAGCTTTTTCATGTCAGTCCTTTTTCAGAGCTCTTCTCTCCCATTTCCCCTTCAGTATCCTTTCCAGTTCCCACTTGTTAGCTTTCTATAAATTAGAAATTAAATTTAATTCAATAAAGGATGCACACACAAATTCAAATGAAGCAACTTCCACAAAATCTACAGCACATAAACCATTTTGCAAATAAGAAAGTCTCAGAAGTAAGCATCTTCCTTAGACACTTGGCTGAGCTACTTTCCCAAGTTACACAATACTAAATCCTGATTTTGTCCCTAATGCCTACATTTATAATATAATTCCTTGTAGAGGTGGTCAGGATGCATAGTATTTAAGCCAGTGAAGCTTTGCTATGATCACTCATGCTATCAACCACATCAAAATTACTGTCTCTAATTCACAGTCCACTGAACTAGTTACTGACTACCAAGTGCGGAGCAGAATTTGCATAGCTCAACAAAAAGAACTGTAGAAACTGCCTTAGTTTTGTAAGAAAAAAAATTCCTAGTAAGAACTAAGGAAATGGTCACAACTCTGCCCTCTAGAAGGCAACACTGCCACTGACAACAGAACTATTGCTCCATCCACTCAACACTCAAGAACAACTGTCTACATTAATTGTCTTAAAAGTCTTGATACTTCACAGCACTGAATCATCTCCGAACGCTCCTTCTGACTTCTCCCTCTCTTTATCAAACAGCCTTTTTTTGCAGGCTGAATTTGGCTAACACTTACCAAGCTCACTGTCTACATATTCTTTCCTGGGATTCCCTTCAGCCCTTAATTACCAGATCTTTTCCATTGATCTCCCATGCCCCAGTGAATGTTGCACCAGAAAAACTACATGTCCAAAGAAAGCGAGCTATTATTTTTCCTGCACAACGTGCCAAGGGATGTTTGAAGTTCTAAGTGAACAAAATGAGTTTCCTTTTAAATAAGTACCCCTAGAACTGAGGCGCCATAGCAATATACACGACAACAAGTAATACAACTTTAAAGCAGCTTTCAAGCTGCTGCTCATCCAATATATGGCTTAGAATATCTTAGAATTCCTGTAGAAACTAGACAAAGGAAATAACAACTAAGAAGAAACTTCTGCATTAGGGCAAAGATCACATAGGTAGGCACAGTGTAAGAAATCTTGTAAGCAATACAGAAATCTATCCTTGAAATATTAAGTAAAATATTGGACCAATATTAACTTTTGAAAGTCTATAGTAGTGTATCACAGGTCAAGTTTCGAAGCCTTCACTCAGCCTGTAAAATGTATTTCATGTATTGACACACATTACTATGTACGCATCACTTTCAGTGGTCATTTCAGTTTTCAAATGGCTTTAATGACAACATTGTGTAATTTTTATAAAGAATATGTCAACTAAATCTGCCATTTCAACTTCAAACTAACAAAGTTCTTGCCTGAAAATAAATACGGCAATATGCTAAGTGTCTCAATTTTTATGACACTCAGGGTAACTCTATACTCCTGTTGTTAACTGAGTCATGTGCGTGACTGAGTTAAATTATCACCATCTGCGACTGGCTTAAAATCTTTTAACAATGAACATTTCACGTTTTTCAAAGTATAAACCGCAGAAGATAACTTCCAGAATACAGTTTAATAACACACAACAAAAAACACAACATAATCTCAAGCTTACATACCTTACAGAAGCTACCAGTGCAGAGGCTTGTTTGAAAGCATCACACGTGTCTCACCTAAAGCTATGACTGTAGAATCATAGAATGGCCTGGGTTGGAAGGGACTCCAAGGATCATCAAGTTCCAGCCCCCCCGCCACACACTTGGCCACCAACCTCTGGATTTGGTTCTAGACCAGGTTGCCTGTTCCAGCAACTCACCGCACTCTGCAAAGAACTTCCCTTTGACATCCAGTCAAAAATTTCCCTTCTTGAGCTTAAAACTATTCCCCCTTGTCCTATCAAAACTCAACTGATTACAGAAAAAGAAAAAAAAGAAAAAAAAGAAAAAAAAGAAAAAAAAGAAAAAAAAAGAAAAAAAA